CGCAAAAAAAAATAATCAAGGAAGCAAAAGGGAGCTAGAGGATAGTAGTAGTGTGTCGTATAACCCAAAACTGTCATTCGTAACTTCGAATTAGAAGCCCCTCGTTCCCTTCACGAGATTAGTCCGGACGAGGGCGGGGGTTTAGTGTAGAAACCTGTACGTTGTATTATGCATCGCTCGTTTGAAGGGTTTACGAGATTTCAAAGTGAAGAAATTTACTTTTACGAATCTATGATTAGTTCCTTGAACATATTTCGAACGATGAAAACATAGCGCGAAGTCATTTTATACTGAAAATTAAGGTAACAGCTATTGCGAGAATCGAAAAGGTCTCGTCTGGGGACAAAAAGCTCTCGACTTTCGTCGTCTGTCGCTTGTATGTATCGACGACAATTGCCCTGTCATTTTTACGTCGACGCAGAGAAGATTGGCCTTTTTCACTGTAGCGAGTCCTATCACTTCGTCTGGCATGAGCACCTCGATTTTTTTTCTCACTCTATCATTGTATTTCAAGTAATTGTTGTTCCTGCAGGCGCTTAGTTACGAGATTTAAAAGTTGCCTCTATTTTAAAACATTTACTGTGATATAAACATTTCTTAAAAGCTTTTATTAATCAGTGGATGAAACGATATTTTTTGGTGAACAATAGTACTTACAAATTAATTATCATATTGAAATATGAATTTTTTTCGGAAGGTAGTGGTTTAACCTCAGGCAAGCGAATCGCCTACACGAAATTCCCGTGCTCACGAGAAAAACAATTGAAAATCTAATTTTAGAATTGGAAAGCGTAATTTCTGAAAGCATACAATAATTAAATGTATTTGAGAAGTTCTGTTTACACCGAGAGCCATCTTTTTACGTAAAGAATGAGCGTTGATAGTTACTCAGAAAAAGCTTTTCCTCATTTTTGCAAAATGATATAAAAAGCCTACTAAACAGAGTGAGTTAACCGATCCCTCCATTTCGGAAAACATGAGCAAATTTCAAACTTGCAATTGATAATTAGCTACGCGCTCTGTAATAAACGCAAGCCGAGCGCCCTCGCTGATTAGCCTATACGCCGCGTACAACGCATCTCCAGTAACAATATCCTTTTTCCACGTTCGCCACGGCACGCGTCACTAATTAAACATTACCTAGGGCAAGGGAGCAAAAACAAAAACAAAAATAAAACTCTCCCGTTGCTCAAAGAGAATTACAGGCGGCTAATTGTGCCCCGCCTCCTTGCTCGTCGCGCGAGCTCGAATACAATGAAATCGCGTGCGTCGCTAAAGCGAAAATTAGAGGGGAGGCAAGAAGCCAAGGTGCAAAAGCCGATACTCGCGCAAGCAGTGGCTCGAAACTGGCTGTTTGCGACCGGATATGAGCGAGTTGTGTACCTCGCTCACATCTACGCGCGACACACTCACACGCACACCCACGCACACACACGGTGGGGGCGAGCGAGAAAAGTGCTGCGACTCGGCTTACCCTCTAATTATTCTGTGGGCACTCGTACGTGTGCGAATGTGCGCGCGTGGGCGAGGAGCGATATGGCTTTGGGCAATTGGAGAAAAGCTGCACGAGATGGGTAAAACCTCGGGAATTGAATGTTTAACGATGCTGCCAAGAGGCAAATGCCCGAGGAACGGAGGTGTTGTATTTTTTTTTTAGATCTAGCTTTAGCAAAGCAATATTGAATTTAATTACATTCGGCCAATTCGCGTTTTGACCCTGAATTCATCAGGTGCATATATGCTCGTCGAACTTACGAGATTCAGTAATAATTGCGAGGGACAAATCTCGATGAGAAAGCTAAGCAGCGAGTGCAAAACTCAATAAATAATTCAGAATTCGCACAAGCGCGCAAGTGCCAAGGTACTTATATATCAGTAAAGTTGTCCTATGGCTACTTGGCAATTCACTGATACTGCATTAGCATGGTCGTCCCGCGGCTACTGGGAACGGACGAAAGCACACCGGCTAATAGAGAATGATAAAAGCGGCGGTCGCTAAAGCCCCATTGCCTCCGAGTTATTAATCGGGCCAAGTTATAATGCTACCGACCAAACCCCGCTTGTAATAATGACCGGCTATTCTCTCTTTCTCTGCGGAAAATTCGTATGAATATTCTGGCTATGACGACGTACTATCTCTCTTGGATTCATGTTTGTGACAACGGCCCTATACAGATTTTCTTAATTTCAACGTTTCGAGGTCGATTACCGATTGATATAACGAGCGTACTGTTGAGAAAACTTTGCACCGACATTTTATGTAAGTAAGGGCGCGTAAATTTTCTTTTTCTTCCCATTTTCATTTTTCAACGCTGGAAACCATTTTCCGAGCGAGCTCTTAAAATTCCTTCGTGTGACATTTTTTAGAAGCTTGTTTATCGCTCGAACAAACTGCAAATGTTTGATGACTGCCATAAATCGCCGATTTTTCGTTCATTCTATGGCTTCTTTCAGTCACAAACGAACTCTGAAAGAAAAAAAAATATGAGCCCTTCCTGTATTAGGAAGTCGCTTACAACAATTGCCGTCAAAAGTCTCTACGAAAAAACTTACATTGTTATAATTCAGACCACGGATATATTGGCATGGTTAGACGGGCTTAAGAACTGTCGTATTCTCCGTTAGATGGTTGATTAATTGAATTTCCTTTTCGATTTTCACGTGATCTCATTGCCCTTATTTCCCAAAGGGGAAAAAATCCGTGCAGCATAATAATAATCAGTCGGGAGCACACGACGCATTAGCCGAAATCTCAACAGTGACCATGTAACCCATTTACATCCTCGATTAAGCCAAATCGAGCACTGGCGATGGAGAGTTGGCCGCGTTGCTTTATGCTAATCAACGACCACTGACTCGCTTATACTCGCGCAGCTTGTCGCTGCGGATCAGCTCAAGGCCGGCAACAAGCAGTTCCAGAATTGCAGCGTGAAATCCTCCCTTGAGGATCGCAAAGCAATGTCTTATCCCTCGCGCTCTTAATTAACTCACTGCCGATTGCTTGGTTTTACTGCTTAATACCCCTTTTTTACGGAGCTACTTTCGTACATTTCGGGATTCGCTTTTAATCCCCGGTTCGAATCCTGAGTTGTAAAATCCTAGGTCGAGAATACGCGAGGCGTAGAGGCGTTGTTGCGAGCATATGTTGACAAAGCCAGAGAAGCAACAAAGCTGCTTTAGCTTCTTACGACCTCTGAATGATTCCGACGAATAATTAATTTGGAAGCCTCATTTTCTGACAGACGGGCTAATAGAATTGCCAGCAGCGCGCAAGCCGAAAAGAAACTCAACATATATTTTTCCAAGCCCAAAGTCGTTGTGCACACACACGCGTGTATATTCTTGAAAGGTTTATTCAGCGTCGCTTGAATATTCTCTCGCTCGGAGCGGCGACGTCGGCGTTTGCCAGGCGAATTAGGCCGCGCAGAGAAACCCACGACGAATTACGCGCGGCCGATGACCTCGCATGCACACGTCTTTTGCATCTTTATTAGATAGCTCGACTGGCGATTTTGTTGAATTTTCAATTTCGCTTTATTGATTCGTTAGGTTATAACGAACGCGGTGACTGTAAATGAGAAGAGACCCGAATGAATATTCGTGAGAATAAGACCGGGACAACGTGCGAGTACTCGCGTGCAGATGAAAAAAGGTAGATGTGTTTTCGGCAAATCACGATTATAATCAGCAATCAGTTAAAAGGAGTCGCTATCCTCTAATGATCGATTACAAAGAGCACGAACCGTTCTCCTGTTCCCCTCTTCATCTTACGGCTGCGAATATCATAAAAATTTATTTTGCAGAGGGGACACAAACAACAAACCGGGAAACGAACGAACGGGAGTACGGAAAAAGGAACTAAAGCAGAAAGGCAGGGAGTGAGAGAGAGAGAGAGAGAAAAGTCGCACATATACAAATCCACGGATAATTCAGTATGCATGAGCGATGCTAAGCTTCTTTTGCTTTAATTGTCGCAATTCAGCGGCCCTACTGCGTGACCGGCCTAGCCAAGCGTACTTTCACCGACGACGAGGCAAAAGAAATAATAAATAAAAAGAAATTGCTGCTGGAGAGGAATGGACCTGTGGACCAATCTACTTCTCGTCTCTTGCTCTGCCGTTAAGGATTTGCGAAGATGCGATTTCATCGCGAACAGCTGTTTTTCTTTGGATGCCCAAATAAACGTTACAATTCGCGAACGTGTTTTACACCCCAAAAAACTAATCTCAAAGATTGAGTGTATAACAGACCGAAGCCCCTTTCGCGGAGAACAATAAAATGCAAATGTCTTTTGGCATCCCTTCTAATTTCCCTCGATTGTCGAGTGTCAAGGTGCCGTGCTTTTCTTTCCCTCTCTTTCTCGATTTTCCCGCCATTAAACTTAATTGAATTTCCACTCACCCTCGGTATTGTCATTACACCCATCGTCATTGACCCGAACAAGTGTTTCACAAATTTACATCGCCATCCTATCTCCTACGATTTGTACCCCTCTCCCTTGCTGTCTGAAGATAGGGAGAAGGGTATTGATTTGATTTTATATGCTTTTTTCTGCTTTCGGCACTTTATTTTGGTTAACTTTTTATCTGATTCTAATGCGATTTTATTGTACGGTTCTTAGTGAAAAATCATTCGCTGGGACGAGCGCGTATTTTTAATCTGCTGGGAATGTGCTGGTAGAGTTGTCCACATTAAATTGTTGGTAGATAATATACACGATATTTTTATTTCAATTCTTTCTATATTACCGATGTATTTTTCAACATTATGCAATTCACACTAAGTCTGAGTTATTATGAAAAAGCAGCTATTTATTTACGTGCTTTCTGTATAATTAATTTTCTTGTAACCTCAACGATAAAGTTGAAAATTTTGGAGAATCAAGTTTCCCACCACATTCACATTTGTGAAAGAGAATGTGTCTCTCTTAACTTCAATATTTCAAGTTAACTGTTTCAGTCGTGTAGAACTGCACTCTGCAAAAGAAGATTTCAACTCACCTGTCGTAATAGTAGTCCCTGAAACAGAAAAGCACCAATAATTAGTATATTCATATCCACGTAACAATCGCTTATTTATATTTTTAGCTATGAAAATATTCTCCATACAGAGGAGGGAATTTGTAGTGGCACTGTAATCGCCTCATTCACGCAAGCTCATCGCGAGCACGTCAGGTGTGTGTGTCTCTCTCTCTCTCTCTCTCTCTCTCTCTCTCTCTCTCTCGAAATTGCTAGGGATTCATGTGCACTATGGTTTCGTGGAGAGCGGCGTAACGATCTTACGTCGCGATCCTATACCTCGCATTATATGTCTTCCGCAATCCTCTCATCGCTGACTACATATTGTTCGTCTCGCCAAAGAATATTGGCATGCCGGACGTATCGAGTCGACTGCGTCATTGAAAAACAAATGAATTTGGCACTATTGTGTTCGCGTCGTGTAAAAGGCTCGCCACTTCGTTGTTCAAGATTACGGAGCGCCGGGGAACATTTTCCGCTGTTTTGCTCGCATCGCATTAACGAGACAATTTAAAGAGCGGAGTGTCGGCTTTCGTTGGTTCACGAAGCTCCTCTCCAGTTTCACCGTCATGCTGATTTGTTTCAATCGACTGCGGCGCCCGCACCTGCAGTCGCCTCTTTTTATTTAGCTCCAAGCCCCGATAAACCGATGAACGGCCCGCGAAACTAGATCAGTCGATCGCGGCAGCTGACAAACGCGACGACGCTGTCGCATCTCTCGACTCTTCGCCTCGAAATAACGCTTCGATATGAAGCAGTCGATGAAAGCTCGAGCAGCCGTCCAAGACGAGTTCCATAAAGCTCGCAGCGCGCACGCCGTGGAAGGAGGAGAAGCCGGGGGCTCGTCGCGCGTGCGTCTATGGTAAAAGGGAAAGACTGCGCGTATATAGAGGCGGGCGAAGCGGCTCATTTGCACTCCGCCTGTCGCGAATGGAGTGCGCTGTCCCCGGGAGCGGCACGAGCTTTGCCCAAGCTTAATCCTCGCACGCACACCCGAGAGGAAAAGCTGATTTTCTGATTTAACGTCGCGCGACTTTCTTTTCTCTCTCTCTCTCTCTCTCTCTCTCTCTCTCGTAGCTGAGCGATTGTCCACCGAGTGCTATTCAGATGAGGCCATGAGGGCGGGAAGTTTTCTTGATTTATGAGTGGGTTACTCTACCTTGTCAGCGGATCAGTTTCAACACTCTCTCGCTTCCTCTCTAACACCAGATGGAATATTCTTCTCTTTTCCTTTTTCTTTATTATAATTTTTTTTTCTTTGGCCGTCTAATATTTTGCTTTCCGAAGTTTGCCGATGGTTATAAATTGCGTTGTGTGCAGGAATAAAACGTACGGGATTTTCGTCTCAAATTCTTGGAAAATGTATTAAACAACACCTTATCTAGAATAGGCTGACAGGATATTAACACAATTAAGCACCAAATTCAGAAAAAATTTGTATAAAAGTGAGAGGAAGAGAGAAAAGTTGCCGAAGAGATAAAAGAAAAAGGCTTCTATAAGAACTTGAAGCACAGCAGGATAAAAAGAAAGGAGACATCGACAAAACCGAAAGTCAGAGTAGGGTGTATGCATATATATATATATATATATATATATATATAAGAAAGACTGAGAAAACAGAGAGGAAGCCGAATGTCTCCGGAAAAGATAAACAGAGAGATTACATTTACATTGAAAAGGACCCTCTCCGCGATGAAAATCACAAAAGCAAACGAGCAACGAGAAATATGTACGTGCATATTTTGAGAAAAGTGCGAAAAAAGTATGTTCGCTACTTGGCAGAAAAAGAACAAACAAATTGCGAAAAGAAGTTTATCAAATGAAGTTCTTATGAGTAGTGATATTTTCGCGGCTTGAGTCGCGCATAATAAATGCTCCGAGCGCGCTGTAATCTCGCGCTTAAATCATGACGAATCGCCGCGACGCCACCTCCGTCAGATTTATCAGCGTTACTAGTCCCGTAAAATGGATTCTGATGCCGGAAAGAAGGCACTGTTGCGCCAAAGCTGTGCGCGGGCTTCCGCTTTCGAACCGACAAATTCTTTTCGTTCGGCGAGCGCAGGAGCGCGGCGCGTTAGCGCGTGTCAAGCCGGGCTAATGGAATGCGCACCGACACGGAGTCCGTCGGGCCTGTTATTATTTCGCGTGTGCTCGCGGAATGCCGATAATTCGGAATTTCGACTGCGCGTCGCGGAATAAAATTGCGCGCCGCGCTCAATGAAATAACAAAAGACCCAATAATAAATTCAATTCGTGCGTGCGCGTTGCATTCCGAGCGGCCCAAAATCACTCGTGAAATTCAATTTCCCGCGCAACTCTCCACGGGCACAACGTATATTGACGCCGCAGCGTACGCAGAGGAGAAAGAATACAGGGAGCCAGTGTACGTACGCGCGGATTTCACGCAAGATTCAGACGTACATTTTTCAATGAGCGCGCGCGCGTACCTCCTCCTCTTCGCCTAGATTGACCTGGGGAATAAAGCTTCTCTCTCTCTCTCTCTCTTTTTATCACACCTCGTACGCGCGAACGTTGCGTGAATATTTTTCGGACGGGGAGAGCATTTTTCACCAGCCTTCTCTTTCACTCACGAATTGAAAAATTAATAATTTCGAGACTTAGAGAGATACGCTGTTGTGCGCTTGGACTTTGTTTTGCAACTTTTCAGAAATAAATGCACGCACTAGGTATTCCGTGAAATATGCGGAATAAGGCTTGATTTGACGCCGTTCCATTGAATTTTCAATGATAAAAAACGAACAATGACAACGTTCATTTGTTCCTTGTAACATTTCAAAATAGATGAAAAATTATGGGCATTTTTTTATTAATCTTGGTCAGTAATTCTCAAGTACTTTTATGTCTCTAATATCCCTGAAAATGATAAAATCGAAATAGCAAGAGCTTACACGCAGTATCGGAATTCGATAAAACGGTGCCGAATTATAACATTTTTTTTCCCATGGAATTCAACATATTTGGAAATAATATAGTTTTGAATTGATCAAAGTTTTATACTATTATTAACTCATTGTTATCGTTGACGAGCGAGTGATAAATATCTAAATTATATTATAATTAACTCCGGATAATTAACGTCTAAATAATATTATAATTAATTTTAACATAAATGCATACCTGTAATTAGATGTGTCACTGCTAAATTGATGATTATCGATTACTAGTCTTTTCTAAAGCAATTTCGTAATTTGCCAGTGACACGAATATCATCGAACAGTGCAATTATAGATTCAAATTCTTAAATTAGAATGCCACTTTCAGTAGCAATCACAGCTTTCAAAATCATTATAGATAATCGACAGGCGTAATGATAATTGCTTTTCCAATAAATACAATCAATACCTGATCATTCAAAATTAGCGTAATTAATAAATGAATTACGAACACACGAAATAAACACTTTTATTAGGAAAGTTGTCTCGAAAAGCGCAAAAGTCTCTGCAAAGCTACGACAAACCCGCAGGTACGGGGAACATATACGCGGCGCATATAAATATTTACCAAGCACTATGGTTAGCTGTGATGCCCCCACGGGGTCAAAATTGCCTGCAAAACAAGTGTAAATTTTCGAGCGAGTAAACATCCATCGACGAGCATTGTTGAATAAAAACAAGCTGAATCCTTTGATCGAAGCTAATGAAGTGATCGGTTATTTTTATTTTTGTCGTGGTCGATCTACTTTGAGGCGTTTTGCGAATTTTCGATATTTCGTTTGTTTGCATGCGTGCGTTGCTTCAGTGTTTATTTTGCTTCAGCGAAAATTGAGAGCTCGATAGTCCTCCATACAAAGTGCTACAAACGAGCATTTGCAGTCGATTATAACGACGTTATTTTGAACGAATGGCCGGGATTTCGTGGATTGTGATATATTTGGATGTTCTTTTAACATTTTTAATGATGATGGGGTAGATTATGAATTAATATGTCGATGAAAAAACTAAATTTAGCAGGACTATTCTAATTTTGAACATTCAATATTTTCGTCGTAATCATTATTTTATTTTTCTTTTTTTATATAGGAATAGAAAATCAATTTATAATAGAAAATGTTGTATAAATTACAGTAAAAGTTAATACGATAATAAGTTTTATAACAAAAAATCAATTTGATCCGTCGTATCATTAATTCAAATTTGCAAAAATTCTGCACTACAGTGAAGAAAAAAAAATTAAATATATCCCACTGAGTTCCACTGAACGGAAAGTACGAGCATTACCAATGCTTGGTCACAATAAAGGTTTTCGCATGCCACAAATCGAGGACGCCTTGTGGCGTCCCAACGCGGCGAGCGTCAAGTGATTCCCAGGCATATCAAGGATTCATACGAAAAAACGTACCAACGGCACTCGTAACTTTGGTCTATATACTGCCTTGGTGCAAAGTACTCCCTTGAGTAGGCAAAGCCGTAAAAATTTATAAAAAGACTTTTTTTTACGTAGTTGCCGAGAGAGAGAGGGAGAGAAAGAGAGAGAGAGAGACTGTGTGGATGTTTTGAAGTTACAATTAGTTTGGTACTGAGTCTGCTGAGTTTCTACGCGAGAACTACGTAAAACTTATATATATATATATATATATATATATATATATATATATATATATTACTTTAAGTATATATGCATTTGGAAATAATTTCCGATGTCAAGGAAAATATACTAAAAAAAATGTGAAAATGAACATATATTGATTTGTATGCTGGACTATTTTCCATTGCAGTACTAAGCGAAAATTTTATGTGCTCAGTATAGCATTCAGATTATTACCCCAAGAAGTATTTTAAATCCGAAAAATATAGTCACATTGCAGGTAAACATATTCATGAAACAATGTAGTATCGAGCAGTAAATAGAGAAAATAATCTGTAAGAACCGAGAGGAAGTTTCATTATATTTCGAGTGGTGGAGGCTGCAGTAAAATCGACTGTGAGTTTTGAAGCTCTGGCAGCTGCATTGAACCTCGAAGCGATATATATATATATATA